GTTTATTAACATGCAGGTTGTCCATTAGATCTTAAAACACCTTCAGATAATTTGTAATTGAGTTATTTGAGTTATAAAATTCCTGTAATTGAAATTGGGTTCTTGATTATGTTTATATTTCGTTTCTGAATTTTGTCTATTATTTTACTCATTACATTTCATTCGTTAACCATTTTAAATAATGGCTCGCACCTTGGCTCGCGTGGCTTGCACTCTGGCGCATGGCTCGCAAGGCTCGCATGGCTCGCACCCTGGCTCGCATGGCTCGCACCTTGGCTCGCATGGCTCGCTGGCTCGCACAATATTGAAACTCTTCCTTGCACAGACTGCTGGAAATAGTGATTTTTTAAAAATAAAAAAAATCCATGCGGCACGAAAAATGAATGCGGGCGCTGAGGCCTAAAGCAAAAATACCTGTGGTTCCGGTTTCATATCGCGAAAAAATTAGTGTCGGTAGGTCGGAAAATTTTTTTAAAAATATTTTTTCATGGTTTTTTCAATAATTAGCGTGACAACAGACACCATTTTGGCAGCAGCCTGCAACCACCTGGAGAAAATAGGGTCGCACGGTCAATCGATTGCGTTGAAAAAATAATCTAAGGGTCGTCAGAAAAAAATAGGGTCGGTCGGGAACCGGAACCACAGGTATTTTTTTAGGCCTGATGATAAACCGGGATATTTTTTTACATGGCCTAACAGACCACAACTGACATGTCAACAAACATCTCTTTTAAATCTTTATTCCATATCTCACTCCAGACAATGCTAGAAGAATTAGACGATGAGAACTCTGAAGAGGAAGATGGTTATGTCAAGGTGTCGAACGGATTTAAACTACCAGAGAAAATCTACAGCAAACTTTATCCGTACCAAAAAGAAGGGATAATGTGGTTCTGGAGATTATACGAAGGGCGGAAAGGAGGAATATTAGGGGATGACATGGGATTAGGCAAGACAATACAGGTTATTTCGTTCCTCGCGGGAATGTTTGGGAGTGGGCATGTGAAGAATGCTCTGATCATTATGCCTGTTTCCCTGCTCACCAATTGGGAAAAGGAATTTAAAAAATGGTATGAGTTACAGAGTTCATTATAATTCTGCAAACTTGGTCTGACATTGTTTCAGACCAACCCATGTTTTGGTCGGACATGATCGGACACTTAATTATTCTCAAGAGGGACGTTGTCACAGTCAGGCCTCGAATTTCCCTGAAATCAATTGACGGCAATGACGTTAAAAGTTGCTGTAGAATGTAACAGCTGTCTACGGCAATTTTGACAGTTTCCACGGCATTTTTCAAATTACTGTAATAAAACTTTATTTTTATTGTTACTTTGGATTTATGACAAGCTAGAAACATGTCTACGTATTTCTTTAGTTGTTTTTTTTTTTCGAAGAAAACTGAGACTAAAATAATGATTTACGCATGATTTGATCAACATCTGAATTCAAGTATCAAAATAATAATGCACAGTGAATAGTATAACAATTGCACTATACGGCAAAAAATTGCCGTCGTTGTCGCAATGATCCACGGCATTTTGTTCTCCCTCTACAGCAATTGCCGCGATAAAATTCGAGCCCTGGTATATATAATATAAAATATTTCACTTAATACACGAGATGACATTGTTATTGAAATGTGTGGATCGGGAAGTCAGATTCTGTGATTGTCTAGCGGACGGAATCTTTGTTTGCATGTGTTAAAGATTAATTACAGATTTTGTTAAAAAGGTTTCCAACAATAAAGGATGAGAAATATTCAAATTGATGAGACAAAACGGTTGGCCATAATGTCCGTGCAGAGTAATCAGTAGACGGCCATATCAGCATATTGCTCGGCTAATGGCCGGTGGCCAACCGTTGTCATGATCCCTGATGAGTTAGGTTATATCTTGTGTTGGGTAATTCTTGCCAGGTTATTCCTTGCCAGGATGTTTGGAACACTGCTGATCATACACTTTACTACTATTTTTATGAATCCTTTAAATTAATGATTAACTCATTAAGTTGCACTGTGCCCTACTTTATTATTTTACTCTGTCTAATGCCAAATTATTGTACTCCATCTAATGACAGACAATTTTACTCATCAAGGGGAGGAGCTGACACTCGATGATTTGATGAATAATTATAATATGATATATTCATTGATGACATATTCATTTTTTTGACCACTGTAGGGCTCCAGAAATCCGAGTCCGTAACTTCCATGGTTCGAATATGAAACAACGGATAGATAACTTGGCGAAGGTTCAGTCCAGGAATGGAGTGTGTTTAACCACTTACGGTCTTGCAAATACCTGTCATAAACAGTTTAGTGAGGATAGATATGGCGACACGTTCACGTGGGTAAGCTAGACAACAGACAACTTGCATGTTGGACTAATTTTTGATCTAGGCAAAAATTACAAATGTTGCAAAATTGCAAACTTTGGTTACGAAATGTTGTAAAATACGGAAAATATAGCATTGGGAAGTTTACATATTTTGTATATGTTTGTATAGACCCTTTGCACTGACGTCACAAATCCTTAGAGTGTCCTCCAGATGCTCCCTAACAATATCTGTTCGGGTACAACAACCACATACAGCGCAAAACTGAACTAGCCATTTTGATACAAAATTATTATAAAGTTTTACAAAATTTTCTTTGTTTACAAAAGTTATATTATGCATAGATTGCTAATTTGTCCTCCAGATGCATCGTCACCGGCGCTGTGACGTCATGTGCAATGGGTCTATTGTGTGCGGAAAATTTGAGCCGAAATTTTGAGCCGAAAATGGTAACAATTTTTTTCGCACGTACTGTAATGCAAATTACATTTATTATACAAAATTTGCAAACTTTGCAAGACTATACTTTCCAAACTTTACAACATTTCGCAACCAAATTTTGCAATCTCACTAATTTCATTATGTTCTTTTTAGCCGTGGTGTTTCATTCCTTTGATTCCCTTGATCTTTTAACTAATACAGTAGATTAAAATTTAGTCTAACATGCGAGTTGTCCATTCATCCTAGCTCTCAGCTGCAAGTAAGGATAATTAGCACACCCCAACTCACACACTTACTGACTTATTCTCTAGGATTACATCATACTTGATGAAGGACACAAGATCAAGAACACTGCTAACAAGACGACCATCGCAATTCGAGCCATCCCAGCCAACAACCATTTTATTTTAACTGGAACACCGATACAAAATAATTTGAGGGTAGGATTGATTGTTTCTTCATTACTTCTTAGAGTTGCCGTTGGTTTCGATCATAACGGAGGCAGTTTTCGGCTTTCGGAAATTTTGCCTTATTCCGATGGCTGCATTTCTGAAGCTGACCACTGGATGATGTCCAGTAATGCTTACTGAAACCCGCGCCAATATAAAAGTATTAGAGGAGAATTTTAAAAGATACATATTTCAAAATCTTTGTTCATCTCTTGCAGGAAATGTGGGCTCTCTTTGATTTTGTCTGTGAAGGACAACTTCTTGGGACGTCAAGATCGTTTAAACAGGAGTATGAAAATCCCATTGTTCGAGTACGTTTTTTGAAAAATAAATACTTTATCTTCATTGCCGCGCGAAAAGACGAATCGTCGCTGTTTGTCTATACTAGAGTATTGGTGATCAGTCGTTAGTGCATCATTGGGCAGTGTGGATTATAATAATTAACTTTTGATAACTAGTCCCAACGATCCATGCAACCCAAAAGGTCTTAGTCCGGATTGTTTAGTCGAATTTTCTGTATGTCTGGTAGAGCTGTGCAAACTCCGGTTATTTTAGCTCGGGTCCGGCAGTCAAAACTCCGGCTCCTGCAAGGAAATTTTAATGAAATAGATTAAGGAAAGATTTTTAAGA